GGCTGAGCAGGCTCGCAGCCGCCAGCCGCGCCTGGTCCTCGCAGTGCTTGCCTCCGCCTGGCTCCACTGTATCCGGGAACAGACTCCAGAGGCCGAGGGGAACCCAGTCAGCCCACACCAGGTGGCGCGGTGGATTTTCCACCGGGAAAGCGGAACTTGAGGCTGTGCTTTCCTGCTGAAGTGAAACAGAAAACCTGGGCTCCGCCAGCAGTCACTGGACCAGAGGGTGAAGGTAGCCGAGGTGGGGGCTCCAGATGGGGCTGGGACCACTCCTGGAGACCCAGGCTGGCGAGCTGAGGACACTGAGGGCTGCAGGGCCTGGAGAGCAGACAAGGGTACAGCACCGCTCACGGCAGGTGCTCCAGGAGGCCAGTCCTGGGGCGGCCCTCTCAGGGACTCCGTTTACCAACGTGGTCAAACCCTGAAGCTTCCCAGTGTCACAGTCTTCATGAGCTAGGGTGCCCGAGGGGCTGCTGTAGAGGTTCCCAACCCCTTCTTCCACAAGGACAGCCTCCTGGAGGTCTCGTCTGTATTTTGGACTTCTGAATAAGAATTTGCAGGAATTAAAGATCTCAAAACTTTAAAAACTAAAAGAGAGAGAAAGAGAGAGCAAGTTGGCAGAGCCCTGTACCAGATGCCCACAAACAGGGGCCCCTGCAGGCTCCCGCCCGGGGTCTGCTAGTCGAGCACCCCAGGTGTCCTGCCCGGGAAGGGGTGCCTGGTTCGGGAAACCACTGGCTTCTGAGTGACCTCGAATTTGCCGTCGCCTAACTCGGCCACGTCCTTGGAACCCAGTCCTGAGGCTGCCAGCTCCGCACTCGGCTGAGGTTGCAGAGACTGTGGGGGAGTCTCTGGGGAGATGCACCAGGACAGGATGAGCAGACGGCTTCACCCTGTCCCGAGCCTCTGGGTGCCTGAGTGTCAAACGGGTGTCATGAGCGGCTGATGAATAATGTGGTGGTTGCTATTATTCATATCTTCATTAAGAGTCCCAGACTTCCCTCGGCTGCTCTAGAAACACACAGTGAGGTGGCCTCGCTCCTCGGTGATTAGCTTCTGCTTGTCCCCAGGAGGGAACTGAGACAAGAGGCCCCTGAGTGAGCCACTGCAGAGGCGGCTCCCACTCCAGGCTCTTCCTCCTCCGGGCCCTCTGCAAACTCTTCAAAAGAAACCAGGTCGGAGCCCCAGACTGCGCCTGGGAGGAAACCACAGGCAGCTTTGATGTGTCAGCCCGGGGACAAGCGGAACACGGCTCATGGGTGCCGCTTCCCGCCCGAGCAAATGGCTTTAAATGACGCTCTTTGGGCTCCCTCCTAATGCGCAGGGTGTTTATGCGTTTTTTCCAGGGTGTCATCAAAGGAAATGTAGTAATGATGCCCCTCACTTAACAGCGGTAGTTTAGAAGGGATGAATTATTCACTTCGGAGATGAAACGGGGACTCTGCGAACTGGGCCAGCTGAGCGAGTCCCTTTCGCAGGGACTATTTTTATCTCCCTTTACAGTCTTTCATCTCGGGAGACGCACGTTTGGGGAGTACGGGGAGCCCAGTGTGCGCAGCCCGAGTTGGCAGGGTGTCAAACCTGAAGTGCCGGGCGTCTTGGAGCTTCTGCACAGAAAAAAATCGAGGAAACTCCAGCAAACGTGGAAAAGGGGGCAGCGGCAGCTCTCAGGAGGGTGGCTTGGGGGCTCTGAGGCTCCCTGATTCTTATCTTGGGGGCCTGGTCCAACGGGGGTCCCAGGGCACCCTGGAGTCACGTCTCCCTGCCCTCTGCTTGGCATCTGCAAGGACCAACACGTGGACCTCCTGGGCAAGAGGCCGGCGCTCATTCAGGTATGCGGAGCAGCCGGTCCCAAGGAAGGCAAGGACGTGTGACTGCAAGGCTCAGAGTCAAGCGTGGACCAGCAGAGCCCCAAACCCTGCAGGCTGCGCCGGTTACCCACCGCCAGACTTGTACCCTCCAAACCCATGCTGTCCAGCAAGGTGTTCGGAGCTCCTTGGGTGTTCGAGCCCTTGAAAAGTGGTCGGTGATATTGAGATGTGTTGCGGATGTGAACAACCCACTGGGCTCCAAAGACAGCACAAAAGAAGACTGCACACCATCCAATGATGTTTTTATATTCATTACATTTAAGACAGTGACACTCTGGGTGCAAGGAGATTAAGTAAAATATTCGGTTAAAGTTAATTCACCGGGTTGGTTTACTTTTTAAAACATGACCCATTTGTAGGAAAATGGGTGCACCTTGAGACTGTAACGTTGAGTGAAATAAATCAGACGCACAAGCTTCAACAAATCATGGGTTCTCTCAGATGAGCAACCCAAATTATAAATAAAGAGCAAAATAAAAGGTAGGTGATAGAAGTGGGGAGACAGATCATCTTCAAAGGAGAAGGGGGTCAGGAGGGGAGGAGGGGAGGCAGTGCACGGAAAGGGGCTGGAAGAGGCACTAAGACGTGTTATGTACGTGGACCAGCTCCACACAGGGAATGTAAACATCATGTACTACACGCGTGCACTAATAAAAATTTTTAAAAAGAAAAATGCACATACACACACGAACGGCCCATAGAAAATTTATAATGACTTCTGTGGCTGGCTTTACATCTCTGTCAGGCAGCACTGCTCCAGAAGGGGCTGGAAGCCTGTTACCAGCGCTCTCTGTCGGTGGTGAAATTATGAAAGGCCCCCTCCTTTATAACTGCTCTGTCTCTTCCAAGTTTTACAGCAAGTGCAAGCAGAAACAGCACAGCTGGAAGGCGGGGCTGGACTAAGCAGCTGCCCCAGAAGTGTGAGTGTCAGCAACTGCGCTGTGGGAAGGGGCCCAGGGAACAACCAGCGAGTAGCGGATGCCACAGATTAGAACGGGAGGTCAAGGTTGGAGAAGTCAGGGGCTTGGCAGGCAGGAACCCAAATGAAGGGTCGTGGGGAAGTTTATCAGTGAGACACAGGAAGTGGTTTCAGGGATGGCTCAACCCAGTAGGGGAGCCTTTTCAGAAGTACACAACAGGAAGCTGTTCTCTCTCTCTGGGCCCAGCTGAGAATGGGCCAAATGTTGGGAGGTCCAGGGGAGAAAAGGGCTGGCCTTCACCACTCAAGCAGCAAGATTCCCATCTAGCCAACCCCTGTTACAGGGCCAGGCACTGTTTCACACCCTTCAAATGTATTCATTGATTGACTCCTCAGTTACACCCTATGATATAGGAACCTTTATAGTCCCCAGCTCCCGGATGGGAAGTGCGGTGCCCTCTGTAACTTGCTCTGGGTCACAGCTAGTGGGCCAGCCCCGTAGTGGGGTGAATTACCCTTCCCAGCCACCAGGGGCACTGTTCACAGCCTCCAGAAGCCTAACCAGACCTGTCCAACCAAAATACAACACGTACCAGGTTTTAAAAGAATATGTGGCAGGGCGTGGTGGCGCACTCCTGTAATCCCAGCACTCGGGAGGCTGAGGCAGGAGGACTGTTCTGAGTTCAAGATCAGCCTGGGCTACACAAAGTGAGCTCAAGCCCAGCAAGAACAACATAGCGAGATCCTGTCTCAAAAAAGGAAAAAAAAAAAAAAAAAAACAGAATATTCATTTTGTGTTTTATGTAACTTGGTCTGTCTGAAATATTATCACTGTGACATGGGAGTCAACATAAAATTGATTAATGAGAATTTACATTCTTGTTAGTGTCCCATTTTTGAAATCCAGCCCCCTTTTTACCAGGTGTGTGCTAGGGACTGGGCAGCCGTATGTCGCTGCGGTTCTAGTACTGGACAGCTCAGCCCCCGAATCTGCAAACTTCAAACCAAGATCTCGTTCCTGGCGGCCCATCGGCTCCCCAGATCTGCTGCCCTGGCTGTCAGTGCTGGCTGGGTGGGGGCCTGGGCCGGGAGGACTCTGAGACGGTGTCTGGTTCTGTGAGGAAGAGCGCTGTGATTGATTAGCAATGTCTGCCACAAGCAGAGAAGGGATCCCTGAATGCAGACCGGCGGGGGCCACGCCTGGGCATGGAAAGCGGCCTGTGCAGGGGGCCCGTGGGTCAGCTCCTCGGTCTGCCGGTCATCTTTACTGTCCACAGTGGGCCAGGCTCCAGGCGCACCCGCACGGACATCAGCAGCCCTGGTCTGCAAACCTGGAGGCTGTGAGCGCGGATTCCCTTACATAGTGGGGCTGGGGAAGGAGTTAGCGCACAGTGGGTGCGCAGCAAGTGGACGCTGCCGTCTTCCTGCTTACAGCTCCGCGTCCCTGTCCTGCCCCCCAGTTCCACTAAGGACACGAGCGGAGGACGCGTGGCCAACTCCCTCCCAGGAGGCCAGCGGCTCCTCACAGTGCGTGCCCGGATTCTCTGCTGCGGTCAAGGCTGCCCAGGCCTCCTGCTGGATGGCTCCCCGCAGGCCCCTCGGGGGCCCCTCCTGCAAGGCCGAGACGGCCTCGGGCTCCGCAGCTCACACAGTCACCCTGGCGGCTCCAGCAGGCTCCGGTAGGGCCCCGCACGTACCAGCCAGCCGATGAGGCCGTGACGCTCCGCCAGTCCTGCGTTTCTTAATAACTCCTGCCCAGCCGCTGTTGACAAGGACGTCCTCGGCCCCGCCTCCCCGTGCGATGCTGGCTGCGCTCCAGCCGCGCCCGTGGCGGTCCCCGTGGCCTGCGCGAGTTAACACCTCTCCCAGGACACCTCAGGGCTCTTCTGGGGAGGAATTCACATCCAGCAACATCTGGCCCAGCACGCACAGTGAACGGCGAACGCGCCCGCAAGGCGGCCGCTGCAATTAGGGAACAACTAGATTTCCCTAAGTATGACGAGGGAAGTGATTCTCCGGCCAACGGAGTTTAATCAAAATGTTTTATGCAAGACGTATCCCTGACCCTGACAAATCTTCCCCCTCTTGCTGGAAATTAAACAAATATATTGTCAGTGCGAGTCCAATGAGCGCATAAACAGCTGCAGGCCGGCGCGGTCACGAGGTTACAGGGTTTCAACAGACCCAGATGAGCAGGGATGGGAGGGAAGCCTCGCGCGGTCCTTGGGGCTTTACGCAGCTCCCGCTGCCTGCGAGAGGCTCGGGAAAACAAAGGCTTTCTGCCTTGCCCGGTCCTCCCCAGAGCAACGCCCTAGCCACCCCGTAGCCGTGCGTTCTGAACGGGGTTGGAGCCCGCCGCTGCTCCGACTCCTGCCACCCTTCCTGCGCGCATCTGTCCCCCTGGCAGCCTGCACCCCAGTTGTCTCTGCATCCTGGCGTTGAGGACAATGCCTGGCACCCAGCGGGCCATGGACAGCTGCAAGTGGAGCAGGAGGGGCTGGCAGGGCCCCAGGACCTTGGCTTCAAGGAGGCCGGCTCGGAGCCGGGCGGCTGGTTCAGCTCTGCCAGGCTGACACTACACCAGGCTCAGTTTACCCACCAGGAAAGTGGGCGTCACGACAGACGGCTTCTGCTGCGCTTGCAGCGAGCGTGAAGCGAGGTGGCAGACACATCTGGAGCAGATGTGGTGCAAAGTGGTGGTGACAGCAGCTGGGGGCTCACGCTGCCTGGAAGCAACGCTACAGTGCCTCCGTGGCACGAGGACAACCGAAGTGGGGAGCAGAGGGTGGCTAGGAGAGACGCCGCGTGGTGGCATCCCTGAGGGTGTTGGCCGTGGGCTGGGTCTTGAAGGCCGGGGGACCCAGGACTGGAAAGGGGCTATCGGGGAGGTCCTCGGGCAGCCGGGGCTTGTTCACGGCCCTCTGAGGCTGACGCCCATCACGGTGTTTCTGCAGGTGTTTCTGGTCAAGTTTAGCCTGCTGAGTCCCAGTCCAGGTCTTCCCATGGGCTGCAGAAAAACCAGCTGAGAAAACAGAAAATCCCCGTTCTCTCCAGCTGCAGGGTAAGTTCAGGCTAAGGAGCCGCAGGAACGACTCTGCCTCGGTCCTTGGGGTGAGCTGCCTGGGGGCTCGGATGCCAGGTGCAAGGGGTGCTGGCTGTGCTCCCGTCCTCTACGTGGTGTGGGCAGCTGGGCAGCAGCGACGGGCACAAAGTTGCAGTGCCCCCCCCCCACGCCCTCCGCCGGGGCTCTCGTGGGAGGAAAGTCCTGGGTGGGCCTGGGGTTCCCCTGTGGACCCTCATGCAGTTTCCAGAAAGCTGCGCACACCCCGCCATGGAGCAAACACAGGCTCCTTCCCCACGCGTCAGTCCTGCGGCCTCCGCAGCCCTGACTTCCGGGGGCGGGGCGGCGGCCAGCCGTGGAAACAGCGCGAGGCATGGGTTCTGGGCCAGACAGGCTGCGCCTCCTTCCGTATTGACGGTGGAGGAAGGAGAACCCGGGTCAGAGAGGACCCCGCCTGCCCCCGTTCCAGCTTAGAGTGCCTGGGGCCGAGCCCCTCCTCGCTGCGCCCTGACCCGCCCGGGAAGCAAAGGGGAGCACCCGAGGGAAAGCAGAGACCAGGCTAACCTGCGGCCTTGGCCTGAGTCTCGGGGGCTGGAGGAGAGGCGGGGACGGCCGGATCCTCGGCCGCCCTGGACAGGAGCAGGAAGGGTCCCTCGCTCCCCGCCACAGATCGAGTGTCCGCTGGCAGGGTGGTCACGGGGGTTAGTCCTCTCCTGTCCCTCATACTCCAACGCCAGCGCTCATTCTGTAGAGACTCTCTGCGGCCGTGCCAGGCAGCTGGACTCTCACGGGGGGACCCTTGGCCCACGGGACCCCAAGCTGCCACAGCCAGATCCTCCCATGGCCCATCGCCTGCCCCGGCCACCCGGCCAGCGGAGTCCACTCCTGGGATGACACCCATTCCAGCGGGCCGGGGGCAGGCAGTTTGGCACCTGGCCTGGGTGGGCACCAGGAGTGCCAGGGGTGGCTCAGAGGGGAAGTGTGCTGAGGGGAGAGAGGTGAGAGGGACGGAAGCAGGAGCCACATGACTGCCAGGCTTAGGAGCCCGCTGTGCCCTCAGACACAAAGCACAGGGCAGGCCGGGCAGGAGTGGGCGCAGACTTCTGTGCCCAGAGCCACAGGGAGGACAGCCCGGTCCAGTCACCCGACGTCAGGAGGTGGGCGGCCTCCTGTGCACAGCTCACCCGGGCTGGGATTCCCCAAAACCCCAGGCCCTGCCCCCTGGTGTGGTGTGAGCTGGGTCTAGTCCTGGGGCCAGCAGCCTTGGCCTGCTTGTCATGCTACATGGTGCCCTTTAGTAACCAACCTGGGGTAGAAGGTCCTCAGCGGAGGGATCAGCGGAGTTGAGCTCTGAAGGGTGAAGAGGAGCTCAACCTGCAGATAAGGTAGAAAACGGCCTTCCAGACAGAGGAAAGTACACACTGGGGTGGGGAGGAAGACCAGCTCCACAGCCCAGGAGCTGTGGGAAATTGAGGTTCTATTTAGGAGGCCTTTGAGGGCCTTTAAGGATAAGAAGAATTGAGATTCAGAAGGACTGGGCACCTTTCTCTGCTGCAATCCTCATACCCAGCCCAGCGCGTGGCACAGTTGACTACAAGACCAGGCAAACTCCCCCACACACTCCCCACATGCTGTGAAAATAGTGTTGAACCATCTGATAAGCAGCAGTTGGCAGGAAGATACTCCTTCCTGTCTCAGGACCTTTGCATATGCTGTTCCTGCTGCTGCGTGTAGCACTGTTGCATACTCAGGACCTTGTTTCCTAGTATACTGTGTCTATATCTGTTTAGATTAATTTTAAACTGATACATAAAAATGTAAGGAGGATACCTATTAACAGAGTACTGTGTAACATTTTGACCCTTGTATGTGCTGTATCATGTTTAAACCAGGCTAGAAATTGTCCACTTCTTCTGTCTATCCGATGCCGTGTCTGTGTTGTGCCTGTTGGTTCTCCTGGCCTGCATGCCACAGCCCATCAGGAAATATTTATTGCTTGGATCCTTGTGCCCCAAATTCGGAAGTAGGGGCTCCGTATCACTTACTAAGTGAAATCCCTCAAATGAATGCCTGCGTAGCATCGCTGGCTGGTGTCAGAAGATGCAGCCATGCCCAGGGAAAAGAAGGACCGGAGGGGGCCTGGGGGGACCCTGTATCTCTGAGGGGAGCTCGGACACTCAGCACATGGCCCCTGAGGAAGCCACTGCCTCCTCCTAGAGCCCAGGTCTCTTTCCTGGGATATCTAGCTGGGAAGGCGATTCTCTTCTGGTCCCTACCTGCAATTTGCTTTCATTCCTGGCCCCCAGGTGCCTGTGTGCGGAAGGACCTGGCTTCCAGGGGGCCTGTGCTTGGGGGAAATTTTTCCTTAATTCTTTTTTACAGCCTCACTTTGGTGTGAGAGGGTTTGTTATTATCCCTACCTTCCTGAGCCGTGGCCAGCAAGCCCGAAAGGAGAACCATAAATAAAACTGTACTTAATATTCAAAGTCGGTGCAGGGAGAGGATGGATAGGGGGTGGGCATCGCCCCAGGGCGTGCAGGGCCCCAATTTCTGCCTCGAGGCAATTACTTTCAGCTCCGTGTAATCAGAACTGCTTCCTACCTCTGCCTTTTGTTTTTCTAACTTTCTCATTTAAAAGGAAGACAGGCGACACCAGATCCCATTTGCACTGTGTCGGCGAGATTACTCCGTGCCCTGCAGCGCCCTGGGCCTGGGGGACGGCAATATTTTACCTGGGAATCCGCCTTTGAAACATTGTATGGAGACAACGCCAAAGACAGAGCCACAATTTGACCCCTGGATTCTGAGGCAGTGGGGACAAATGCCTGGCAGTGGAATTAATTTATCTTGAGAAATAATAGAGCTCTGACTTTTACTTCCGTGACTTCAAATCCTCCTGACTGACTCTCTCCCAGCCCTGAGCTGCTGCTGGGAAGGAGGAGCAGAGGGGACTGTGCTGAAGGATGCTGGGGTGTGCTGTGTGACCTTCCGTGGGCTCTGACCCTCTCTGGGCCGCAGGTACCTAACACAGAATATGCTACTGAAGATAATAACACTCACATCGTGCTTCTGTAGTTGACACTGGTCAGGACCTGCTGCGAGCCAGGCGTCCTGCTGGGCCCTTAATGCTGCCATGAATCCACGAGAGACCAGCACCTCAGCAAGTCATTTGGTTGGTGCTGCACTTCTGGAAGCCCTACTGTGTGCAGTTAGGTTAGGCACTGGGTGTCCCCGCTGACCCAGAAGGCAAGGAGCTGAGAATCCCAGACTGCTTTTCTAGGACAGATGGAATACTGTGTGAACAGGGCCACCCGGAGGAAGAGGCTGCAGGCTTTGGAGAAAGTGACAGAGTGGAAGAGAGCAGCCCCTCTGAGGTGTTGACATTGAAGCAAACATGGCCTCAGGGCAGAGCAGCTATGCCGATATCAAAGATTGAGAAAGACCTGCAGGTGGCAGAATAGCACGTGCAAAGGTCCTGCGGTAGGTGGAGCAGATGGCCAGATCTGTCTGCGCCATGCACTGTTCTCGTGCCAGGCCCTGGGGCCTGATCCAGGACAGCCTGAGCTGCGAACTGGTCAGGGTCCACCGTGCCTGCTGGGATGTGGTGCATCAGCTCCTTCCCCTGCCTTGCTCCCACCCACGGGACCTCCCTTGGCCTCCCTGATAAGCCACTCGGCCTGACCCTTGTCTCTGAGCCCCAGTGGACAGCGTGGGGGTGTCGTGGAGCTGACTTGCTCCTGCCCGGGCTTCCTCAGGCTTCCTGCGGCTGTTGTGGTCCCCCTGTAACACCTCTGGTGAAATCAGTGACGTGGGCGTGGGCGGTGCAGTCCAGCCCCAGCCCGCCAGCAGCTCTCGCTCCCTCTTTTCTCCCCCTTCCCTTGTCCTGGTGAGGCCGCAGCGGCCAGCGGCCGGAAGCTGTGCTGTCCCAGGCCCCCGGCCGGCTGCACCCATCCTTCGGGCTCCCGGGAGATCTGAAAAGGTTAACGGGCTCCTGAAGGCTCCCGGCCAACTGCCAGGTAGCAGCCTGGAAGCCAGCGACGCAGACGCAGCTCATTAGGCTGCAGACGGATGAGGCCACGGCATCATCTCCCCGCAGCCTGCCGCCCCGAGCTGTGGGTTCTCTGCTTGCTCCCGCCAACCACCGTAGGCGGCTGGGCTCAGGGCTCCGGAGGAAGGAACTGGGAGCCCTAGCAACGGGTGCAAGAGGGCCAGCCGCTCCAAGGGGCCTCCGTGCCGCCCAAGGCTGCAGGACACAGAGCCAGGGAGGGACACAGGGGGCCTCCCAGCCCCGGCCACCCCCCGGCCAAGCCCCTTGCTGCACATGTGCGAACATCCCCCTTGGACCGGGAGCTCCCGGGCCCAGGCCCTGCGCCCAGCACAGAGTCCGAGTGGGGGAAGGGGTCAGACACTGTTTGTTGAATGACTGCATGAGGAGCGTGAATGAATGGAAGAGGGACCTGAGGAGGTGAACTAAAGTCCTCTCCAGCCCTGTGGGTCCCTAAGTTTTAGTTGCGTGTGAGGTAGACGGGGGCAAACAGCTCGTCTGGGTGGTGAGTCAGTTGGCTTTGATTCGTGGCCTTTGCCAATTCCCCGGGTGTAAATGCCCCCTGCGCAGGTCAGGCTGCCCGGGGTGCGATGGCGGTGCGTGGACCGTCCTGAGAATCTCGCCGTGGCTCTTGTGAGTCAGAGCGAACCCCCCCAGCTTCTGGCCCTCCCCGCCCTCTTCCCCCTGCTCCCCCTTCTCTCCTCTCACCCACCTTCCTCTCTGGTCCCCTCCTAGCAGAAGAAAGCTGCCAGTCCGCACCTCTGCGCGGACACCGGGCGGAGCGGGCCCGCGGGGACCCGGGGAGGGGGTGGGGGTGACACAGTCCCATGGGTCACGCGGAGCTCCTTATTCTTAAGTGTGCTCAGACTGGCACTCTACTACTCTCTCCGAGTGTCAAGTGGGGGTTAGAGCAGCGCCTCTGTGGGCGGGGGAGGCCTGGAGCCCGCTGGGCCCTCCTGGGGGGCTGCGGGGAGGAGGGCTGGAGGTGGCGGCCCTTGGCCATGGGGCTGGCGTGTGGGAGGGGCCCTTGCAGGACCAGCCTGGCTGCAGAGTGAGTGCTGGGCCTCCTGAGGTGGCAGCCCGAGATCTGGGGGAGAGAAAAGAAAGCCTTGCCCGCTGGCCCTGTTCTCCCCCGGGTCCTCATGGCGGGGGACTGGCTCTGGGGGGCCGGGAGGCGGGGTGCATCAGCCCAGGCTGCCTTCCTGTGCGGAGGGGCTGATCAGATAGACCCGGCCCACTGGGCAGCCAGACAAGGGGTTCTGCAGGTCCTGATGCCGGGGTTGCATGGAGACACCCCCTCACGCTGGCTGGGCACAGCGGGGACCCAGCTCCCGCACGGACAGATCAAGCTCAGAGGACTTCGAACGCCAGGGAGTGGGACGGGTTTGCCTCTGGCCATCTCAGGGATGTCCTTGGACTGGGGGGGGGGGGCGCACAGGGACGTCTGGAGGCCAGCTCTGAGCCGCTCCTCCCGGCACAGGGACGCAGCCGTTCCCAAGGCCAGGCACGCACACGCACTCCCGGGCCGGGGGCAGCTGCTGGCCGTACCGGCTCCCAGAGAAACATCAATCACAGCTGCCCCAGCTCGGTGGCTGCCTCCTCCGCAGAGAAGGAGATGCGGCCGCCCTTAACCACAGTAATTATGGAGTCTTGCTGGAAAGTGATGCTTATCGTTAATGTTAAGTGAATGGGGCAGGAGAGCAACTGCCTGCCGCCCACCCGAGCGGCTCTGTCTGCAGGAACCGGGGTGGCCGGCAGCCTGCAGAGGGAAGGGAGGGGGCGGGGAGCCGCGTGAAACTCAGAGCTGTAATTAGTAATATCACTGCGTTATTCTTTTATTAAAAATGTTATCTTTTTCTGCTGATCATGAAAGGAATCCATTTGCGGAAGGGTGGGTGGCAAGGGTCCAGTGCAAGGAAGAAAACTGAAATCCCCTCCCTAAGGCAGGTAGCCGGGGGCAGGGAGGGCTGTGTGGCCGGGCCCCCGCTGCCTGCACCTGCACCTGCACACACGGATCCTGTCCGTGAGTTGTTACATAATGCAGAGGGTGCTTTGCGTTTTCAATATGGATTAAGGAAGCAGCTCGTTCTGAGGGTGAGGCTGCACCGCAAGTGTGTATTTTGTTAATCTACCTCCCTGCTCAGGAGGACAAAGCAGAATATTTCAGTCTTAGCAGGTCCAGCGCCGGCAGCTGGCAGGGGCTGCGGTGGGGGCCACTCTGTCCCAAGACGAGGGTGCCCCAGGCGGCTCTGTGTGCGTCAGGGGTCTTCTGGGGCTTGGTGAGGGTGAACACAAGGCAGAGGGTTCTCTGCTTCCTTCAACTGCAGCTCCTGTGGCTTTGAAAAGCAGCTGAGGTCCTGGGCCTGTGGAGGCTCGGTCCTGGGAAGTGTGCTTTATTTCTTAGTGATTTGCACTAAGTAAGATCCCCAGATCTCTTTTTATTTCAAGATAGGGTCTTGCTAAATTATCAAGTTGCCCAGGATGGTCTTGAACACGAGAGCCTCCTGCCTCAGCCTCCTGGAATGTGGGGATTAGAGGTATTTGTCATCTCCCTTGGCTGGAAAGGCTTTCTGGGTGGGGAAAGGCTTGAGCAAAGGGGCAGTAGTGGCACTGCAACTGAGGAGAGGGAGGAGGAGGAAGAGGAGGAAGAAGAAGAGGAGGAGGAAGAGGAAGAGGGGAAGAGGGAGGAGCCCAGCAGCAGGGGCCAGAGCAGGGAGTGTCAGACTGACCCCAGGCATGGGCTTCTGAAGGCCACTTCCTCTCCTGGGCTCAGAGCCCACGTCTTCCTTCCGGAAGCCCCACAGCCCTGTCACAGCGGCTGCCCACCCCAGCACCCCCGCACCCAGCTGTGCGATCTCCCTTCTACACATGCCCCCCACCCACACACCCCCGGCACCGCGTTCCCCCGCCTGGGGCTCTGGGCCGCTGCCCCCAGGTCTGCTCGGTCACCCCGCGCACGGCCAGCAGAGTGACTGAGGCAGCGGGGCTCACCCCTCAGCCGGCCCCCGCCCGCCCTCCCTCCCGAGCCAGCTACTTGGCTGCAAAGTTATTGGGGGGAGCGCGGGGGAGAAGTTTCCAACGACTCTGGCTTCTCGTTTCTGTCTTTTCTCTGGTGACCTTTCCATGTAATTAAAAGGCAGCTATTCCAGGAGCCTCGGCGGCCCGAAGCGGAGACGGCGCGCTGTGTACGTGCGTGGAAAGCCATTGTCTAGTCCTCTGTGGGGGCGGGGGCTCCGGCATCAGTAGCGTCAGGGTTCGAGGTGGGCGAGCCCCTCCCGAAGGCCTACCGGGCACACCGTGTGCCTGCGGAGAGACAGGCTTGTCGGCCTGGGGCCCTGTGGACTCCCTCCGGCCTGCCACGGGGGGCCCTTTTAGACCCCAGAACTGGAACTAGAAGCAGACCCAGCAGAGTGGGGTCCTCGGGCCCACAGAGCCTCCTTGTGGCCCCCTCCCTCCTGGGACCCCGCGAAGGGAGGAGGGTGGGGAGGTCAGAGGGGCCCTGGAGCCCCTGCTGGCTCCCTGCAGCTGCAGCTGCCGAGCAGCCTTGGTCCCGGCCCAGCTCCCGAGCCAGGAGAATTTTGAGTGAGCGAGTTCTCAGATCCGGGGCGTGGGCCGCCCAGAGGCCCGGGGTGGGCGGCCTTCCCTCGCATCCACCTCCACCAGCCGCTTCCCACAGCCGGGATTAGGCCAGCAGCTGGACGGGGTGGCTGGGAGCAGGGTACTTGTGTGGGGAGGTCTTCTGGACCATCCGTGGGGTGCTGGAGGCAGCAGGGCCAGACAAGCCCTTCCCCAACACCAGGAAGGGGCTCCTTGTGCAGGACCCCCACCCAGGAGGTCCCAGGCCACGGCTGGAGAGGGCCGGGGTGGTGGGCCACGTGTGGGCGGAGGCAGGGAGGGTCTGAGTCTGGGGCTGTGTGAGGCACCTCTCCCAGTTCCGTCTGGAGCCCAGGGCGGTGGGCTGGGAGGCGCCCGCCTGGCCCGTGGCAGCATCTGGAGAATACCTTGTTCTTCAGGGCGGGGACACGCCCTTGTCCCAGGGAGAAGCCCAGGGAGGGAGCCCAGGGCCAAGGCTGGTCTCCTCCTCCGCTCTCAGCCAGAGGAGCGTTCTCATCCGAGCGAAGGGCTTTCCAGAGCCGCTGCTGGCCCCAGCGCACCTGACCCTTCTGGCCCCTTTCCTCAAGACCAAGCTTCAGGGCGTCGGTCACCTGCTCCTCGGAAGATCTACCTCAGTGCCCTCCTCCGAGCGGAAGCCAGGTGCCAGCTTCACCCACAGCTGCAGTCGGCCGCTCCAGCATGGGGGCGCCGGGGCCCAGGGAAGGTGCAGGACGTGTTCTCACCTCCCTAGCCACAGACCCCATGCTCCTGTTGATTGAGTTTTCACCCGTCACCTTTTGCTTTTGGATGTGACCCTAGTAGAGTCCAGGCCTACGCGGAGTGGGGTGGGACTTCCTGTTGGTAATCTTGGTGAGGCAGCGGAAGGACACACCTGACTCGGGGAAACTGAGGCTCAGGGCTCAGGGCCTTGCTCAGAGTGACGCAGCGCATCAGCAGCGCAGCTGGGAAAAGATCCAGGCCTCCTGACCTCTGCCGCTTGGCCCCTGCAGGACAGTGAGACCCGGAGACAGACAGGCCGCCC